AGCTTAAATATTCTTTTGTAAGAGAGGGTGAAAGGAAGGTGTCTTTAAGTTTGCTTGAGAAAGTGTGAAGGGAGAATTAGAAGGTACCTGTAAACCACCAGAACTTAAGAGTGAATAAAATAAGCTGTAGCTTACAAAGCCAAAGCGTCTGAGATGCTCACTGTTTTCTTCTAGGTTTATGCTTGTATGATGGTTTTCTTCCTGAGCAACATGATTGAGAACCAGTGCATGTCAACAGGTGCATTTGAAATAACTTTGAATGGTGAGTCTTGAACTTTTTATTCATGGGAGTCACTTTGTGTTGCATGTGTACATAGAGATTTGTGAGGGCTGTTGGTCAGCTATTGTGCTGGAAGAATGAGGAGGATGCTATGAAATGTAGTATGTCTCAAAACGTGACTGTATTTGCCTTCTGTTTTGAAACTTCAGTTGTTATAGATCACAAATGATAAAATTGTGGATACGTTGTGAAGTGGTTTATCTAGACTTCAGTTAGGTATATTTTTAAAAATTGCTATGTACAAAGCTTATTAGGGGAATGCTTGGTCATTTGGAATAACTTGGAATGGTCTTTCTTTGTACGCGGTATGCATTAATGAAGAAATGATCAACTAGGGAAACTTACTCTCCGGTTCATGTCATGCTTTCCCTATGCTGTTTTCTAGTATGGTTACGGCTTGAGATCTTATTGAATCTATTGCTATTACCAGATTTGTAGTGCCAGTGGACGACAGTACTGATTTTTTAAGTTAGGAATCTGTGGACCTCTCCCTTTAATTTAGGTCTTCAAATAATTAGGCCTTCAAATAGTTTCATCATTTTAAAGATGACTTAAGCTTGATGGAGTACAGAATTTGTCAAGCTGTAGGTACAAGTACGTACTCTAGTTCTGTGGTTTATTTCTCAGTTTATAATTGTGCAGGATGCATTTCAGCCTAGTGGTTTCCTCAGTCAAGTCTTACACTCCAGAATCTTTTAAGACTGACTGCATTGCCCCAAAGTGGTTGGACTTGATGCATTTAGAGTCCTAAATCTCGGATTAGAATTGGTAGCAGAGCCTTCCTGGGGATGAACGTTCACGTGTGGACTTAAGGCTCTAGTTTGGCTTTTGGGACAATGAGGTTCTAGACTGGGTTTTTTAGCAGATGACAGCAACTGGGTTTTTCATGGTGGGGTCGTGAAGTGCCATAGCAGTGGGAAAATATCTGAGGGAGTAAGTACTTGGCAACATCAGAAATGAAAGTTGGGCTTACCTTTGCTGGCTGTGCTGTGCTGTGCTTTGTATTCCCATTCAAAAAAATATTTGCAGTTACGTTACGAGTGGAACCTTCAAAGCTAGATCTTGACAAGCATAAGTCTTTTTTGGGGCAGCCTTAAAAGTCAGGCAGAAGGGAGCTGAAACCTGATGGAATCCACAGGTTTTAAAGATTTAGCTATGATCTAGAAACCTAGCCTGCCACTTGCTAATCTATTTTTAGACATCCTGTTAGTAGGAATAGATATTTTGAGCCTGTAAATCCTTATGGAATACTTTTAAAGGGATGCATTAGACTCTTTCTCTTAATTGGAGTGTGTTTTGGTATATTCAGAGGCTCGAGGCAGTGTTGGGGCAGTACTTTTCTCAATATAAAATAGTACCAACTTGCTTAGCTTCCTAGATCTTCTAAATTTTATATTTAAACTAGCCTTATGTGTTTTTTTTTACTCTGTCAATGTAACTGTGCTTTCCTCTAATGTGTTTTGTGGTAGATGTTCCAGTATGGTCTAAGCTGGAGTCTGGCCACCTTCCTTCCATGCAGCAGCTTGTACAAATTCTTGATAATGAAATGAAGCTCAATGTGCATATGGAGTCAATGCCTCATCATCGATCATAGCCCCATCTATCAGCACTGAAACTTCTTGTAAGTCTTCTTCCAGTCACTGGCTGGCTGTTGCGTCAGATGTAGAGGACCACATGTTGGAGACTGAACTACGTTGTAACGAACAAATAATCCATTTACAAAGTGCTTTGTCAAAAAACAAACAAACAAAAAACAGTTCTAATAGAATTCTAGTAAACTGACTTAGGTGATTTTACAATTACTGTTTTGGTGGGAGGTTTTGCTTTGGGGTATTCTGTTTTCTTTTTGTTTTTTTGTTTTTGTGTTTTGTTTTGTTTTTTCCCTGTTTCAAAACTGGAAGCTGGTTTTCTTCTGACCAGGGAAAAAAATGTGTGCTACTGCGTGCAGAAGGCCTTAAGTAAAGATTTAATCAACCGTATTATGCAGAGATCAGAAAACATATTGTGTTACGTGCCTTAAAACATTGTGTGCAAAGGATTTCTCTATAATTTGCAATGCATTTGAATTCCATGAACCTAGAAATTAGTTTTCTTGCTTCCCAGTCTCTAGTCTAACCATTTGGGTGCTATGCTATCTTAACCTTTTGCAAATATTCTGCGGCTAGTTAGGAGCAAAGCAAATGGTCACATCCATGCTTTTAGACTTTCAGTGCCAAACTGGTCCTGTGTTCTTATGTCAGATGGGGCTTTGGAAACATTTAGCTTACGATTCTTTGTAGGAGCATTCATGTGCTAGAAGATGACTAGCTGGGTGCAAAAGCTGACAGTCCACACTTAAAAGGCCATATAAGTGAAGTATTGTGTTGCAGTATTGTATTGTAGTGCAGTTTTTTGCACAAGAGCGCTTTGGTTTGAGAAATTGCGATTGTTTGGCGTTGTCTAGCCAACAAACACCTTCTCAAGTGACAGACTGCGCTGCCACTTCTGTCAGCTGACATCATGCAACTTGTCTCATCTTCTAAGCTGATCAGTTGGTCCCAGCAGTAGTATTTGATGACCTAGCTCTGCCCAAAACCTCACAGATTTCCCTTGGAGCTCTGTTTAATATAATTCAGCTTCTACAACATCCAATATTGAGAAAGGTAGGAACATAGCATTCAGAGGTATACAATAAAAGAAATCTGAACTTCGTCTGAGAACTTTATGCAGTTTCACCCCTTGCAGGAAGCCACGCTCTGTTACTTTGCTGTTTCTCAACTTCAGAGCTCAGACTTCCCGCCCCACTTTCCTGCCCTGTCAGTTTCTCCCTCCGCTAATACCCATGCATTCAAAGCCATTGCTACCTTTAAGTACTAATGCAGAGAGCACAAGAAACCATTGACTTCTAATTCCTGCAAACATGTCCAATTTATCCTAGTAATTTAGCAGAAGTCATATTAACCATCAAATAAGTTGCTTCGTAAAAGAAGTTATTTCCAGTACTTCTCAGAGATGCTTACTGAAGCCCAGTGTCCTCTGTGTATTGATTTGGAAGGTCTCAAGAAAGTGATCTTTGTGCAGCAAAGTAGATTATGACATATCATGACGTATCATGTAATAGCATAATTTTTAAGCTTATAAAACATGCCAAGACTGCTGTTATGTAGAATTTCCTTTAACTGGATATACGTTTAAAAAAGAAAACTCGATTGATTGCCCTCTTTGTGGAATTAATACTGCATGTTAGGAAAGTCTGCTAGTGAAGCTTACTGTCTTACTTAAAATATCTCCCTATTTATTTAAAGTCATACTAATGTAATATTCTGAAGAATGATAGTCTTGTAGACAATCACCAGGAATAAAGTGATTATATTCCCTTCATGAGTTATGACCTCCCAAGAGACGCTGCCTGTAATTCAGTTTTTATTATTCAAAGCATACATAGCGTACTTCTCTTTGTAGTCTGCAATAAACGCCTCAGCTTTCTGTTTTGACAGTGTTGAATACGGCTGACTAATTTAACATAGAAGTAGTTGCTGTTTGTGACACTTGTTTCTCTATTTTCAGGCATTAAGTGGTGATTTCCAAGGGCAGCGTGGCTCAGACCAATGAAGGCCTGTACTGAAGACAGCATGCTGTTGGTACAGACTGGATGCTTTTCCTGCAGTCACGTCATGCCTCCTGAGAAAAATCTTAATGAAAGACATCTTTCAGTGCTGGCGTGTTTCCAGATACTGCACATTCATGGAGTGCAATAATACTGTATAGTTTTTTTAAGATTTCATTCGACCAGTTCATAGCTCAACAATGCAGGCATTACTAATTGTAACTTATTTTATATTCATGTTTCACACAATGGCAGATTGAGTTGATATCTAATTTTTCCTTGGAAAAAGTTTGTTTAATCTGTTGTATTTTATATGAATTTCTGTTCTTTTTGTAGTTTGAAATGGAGTTATAGGAGTGTCTGATATTGTCCTAAATTGTAAAATAATTGACAGCTGTCTATCAAATATCTCTAATGTGGTTATAGCAGGTTTGTATATTTTTCAAAATCTATGGCAGAGTTGAACAGTGCATTATGTACTAAATTATATGAACAAAATTATATGCAGAGTAATTACATCATTTTGTGACGTCAGTAAAAATTAAGACCAGCTGCTTTTTAAATTGTGTTGGCCAGCTCAAGAGGTTTTCCCTTGACCAATCTGAAGAGTTGAAAAGCTGGGCCTTTCTACTGTCCTAAATATAAACTAAGAAAATTAATTTAAATAAAGAGTTCTCATTTACCGTGTGAAGTACTTTGAGTTGCTAATGGTGGTCAAATTCTTAGAATTGCAACTGAAAAATGCATAAAAAGCCTACTTTCCAGAGTCTCTAAATTTGTGTTTGTTGTCTTGTAAAAGCCCCTTACAACAAGTCTTCTGTTAGATCGCTTTACACAGCGCTTTTGTTTCCTGCTGAAATGCAATGGTATCTCAAAACTCTTGAGTAGTGCTTTTTTTTACCCAACTCTGTCAAATGTATCAAGTGTTGCAGTGAAAGAGGGATTCCCCCTCTGCCGGCCCCAAGTGGCCATAGTCAAGTGGTCGGGTTTTTTAAGGCAGTGAGTGTTACTTACTGGCTTACAGTTGTCTGGGGCCCTGACGTGTTCAGCTCCCCTCTCTCCAGGGAGCGAGCATGAGCCAGCTCCTGTCTGCTGCCCCTTATCGTGTGAGGTTGCGCCTGAGGGCTGAACAGCTTTGCAGAGCCATTGGAGGGTACTGTTCCACCTCTGGAATGATCCTGCCCCAATGTTGTTCCTTCAGCTGTCTACCCCGGAAGCTGTGCTATTAGGTGGTCTTGTTGCCAGGCTCCTTGGATTTGTATTCTACGTTTTGCTATCTCGGTATAGATGGGAGTTTCAGTAAATCTTACGGTGATAGTGCCTGACCTCTAACAGAGGTTGGGCAGAGGTTATGCTTTACTCTTAAAAAGTATTCAGTGATGTGAGGGATAGGGAATGGGTTTCTCCTGAGCACAAATTGTGGCGCTTAGCAAATAACTGGAAATATGGTCTTTATGTGGACGCTTTGATAGGTCTTGAAGGCTATCAGGTTGTCTGAGCCTGGTTTCCCCTTCATAAATCCATGCTGGCTACTCCAATCACCTTCTTGTCCTACTTACATTTGGAAGTGGTTTCCAGGAGAATTTGCTCCATCACCATCTTGGGGATTGAGGTGAGGCTGACTGGCCTGCCATCCTGTAGTTTTTCCTGTCATGTTCTTGTATTTGCCATTCAGAGCCTTATCTTTTTCTTTTTGCATCTGCCAAAATTAAATTTTAATTAGGGTTTAGGTGCTATTGCACTGGAGCAGCCTCACCAGATGAAAGTGAAATGTCAAATTTTCTTGTGGGGGCCATGAATTCTCTTCAGATTAGTTTCTTTAGTCAGCTGTTATCTGCACTCTCCGGGTACCAGCTAGCTGCTCTTGGAGGCTCTGCAAGGTGCCTTCAGCTGCTGGGGCGAATGGTAACGGTCATGGTTTGCTGTGTGCTCTGTGTGCCTTGGTGGAGTGCCGGGGCTGGTGAAGGTGCAGGAGAAGGATATAGGAGCAAGTTCATGAGGAGAGGGGTGAGGGTTTGCATGTGCCAGTTCCGCCGCTATCGCAATGTGATGTCTGAAGGGAGGATATATGGGAATTCCAGTGTTAAGGAATAGGCGATGCCTGTTGAGCAGTGCTGGGACTTGCACTACAGCGAAGCAGCTGCTGATAACTGGTGCTGGTTAGCTGGGTAGAGAGCATCAGGTGGTTGTAATAGATGCTGGGAGTAGGCATGTTTTAAAAGTTGGACTAAAACTGGGATTGCAGCTTTTTTAGGAAAGAACGTTTTTAGGACAATTGTCTTTGGTGTATTTCTTGAAAACTTACCCTGTGTTTTTTAAGCTGAAGTTCTAACTCGGTAAACCTTAATGCTTTAATTTATGGGGTAAGCTTTTGAAGTCAGAGAATGTAATTACAGGCTACTGTTCCGAGTTTATCCCAGATCAGTCCAGTGCTAGCCTGTGCTGAGGGCAGCGCTGTCGCTCTAGCCCAGCCTCCCTGGAAGAGTCGTGTCCTGGGCCGAGTGCGTTTCCCTCTGTGGTGGGGATGCTTCCGGTTTCAAGCTGTTGGTGAGACATGGCAGCTGCGTGTCCTGCTCCTTAGCCCAGCTCTCCCTGCTCCTCCTCGAGCCGGTTCAGCTGACAAAACGGGCAGAGAAGTCCTCACAGCGAGGCCACGCAAGGCAGCTGAGCTCCTGGAGGGCAAAGATCTCATCTCCCGCTCCCTACTTTTTGCCCCTGCTGCGAGCTGCGTGATTTCACATCCCTTTTTAAACCAGTTAAAGTACTTATTGGACCCTTCTTACCAAAAATTATCTTTGGATGGGGGCAGCGAGGGAGAGAGACTTTTTCTCTTGGAGTAATGAATCAAACAGGAAGAGAGTCTGAAAAGCCATTATGATGAATCATCATCCAGCAGCGTCTGAAGGCAGCTGTCACGTTGTGGGAATTGTTTTTGGCCCTCCCCAAGGCTTTAGAGACTGATTTAAGCATTGTTTAGGTAGCTTCAAAGCTCTGTCCACCCAGCTGAGAGAAAAATTGATGCCATTTGTTATAAAGGTGGTGCCAAACACCACCTTGGGCAGAAAATGGCCTCAAACCCTCTTTGGGTCTCTGATGAAATAATCTCTTTGGATAATTGACACAATTTCTTCTGAAATAGATTAACCAAAATTTTCTACTGTGGACAGAGTTTTAGTTTATCATTAATTATATACTTCAGACAAATTAGACAGAAAACAAATAAATGCACAGATGTGTTGCTAGGCTATGCTTTTCCAGAAGCTGTTTGCAGTATCTCTCCAGTGACGTTTACCAGGGAGCTGTTTGCAGCCCACCCTGCTTCTTTTCTTTCATCTGTTCAAGGCTGCTGCATAATGATATGTTTAAGTTAGGTGTGTGAGACCTTTGCTGATGTTCATTAAACGTCCCAGAAGCACAGCTCTGCTTTTCTGTTAGGGGCGTGTGGGTCGGCCAGCGTTGCAGTCGTGTATGTAGTTGTCCTGGGTCGCAGGGTGCGCAGAGCAGATCTGTTTTTATGGGCTGAACCACGCTCTGTGAATGCTATTTACAGTACACTTTCAAAAGGAAAAAATGAACAATGAAATGGAAAAAAAGTAATGTTAACAGTCATTAAAGGCAGCGATATCTGCCAGCTTTCTTACAAACCAGTTGCAGAAGAGTGGCTGACTACTCAGTATTTGTGGCGCTTTAACCAGGAGAACTCGCTTTAGTCTGAAATCAGCATTTCCTGGTGCTTTGCTTAGGGACAGCTGGGCTGTTTCAGGTCACAGGTGCCCCAGGCCGGTAACCCGACTGTGACGGTGTCCGAGGGCCCAGCCCAGGGGAGTGCGTATGGGAGAGACCAAACCCGATGTTGCCCGCTTACCCTACAGAATCCCCCAACCTTCAAAAGTGTGCAGCACGGGCCTCTTGGGCCCTGCACGTTTTCGGTAGAGTCAGTAATCCTGGAAGGATTTCTCTTCCGTGAACTGGGGTGACCTATTAAACACGTCTTTGTTTTGTGAGGGAAGGTGCTGCACCTCGTTTACACCATTGTGAGGAGATCAGAATAAGAGCAGGTTATTGAACATGAATAATACCCTTTGATGTCATTTTCCTGTGGATAAACTATTTCCTCAAGACAGATACAAGCTCGACAGCTGCCGCACACGACTGCCTAGCTACGACGGCATGGAACAAGCACCTTTAAAATGGTGTTTGCAGTGCTATTAGCAGAGCCATCACGCTGCTCATTAACACACGCTTGCAGGTAATATCTGTCTTCGACTGGTAGACTTAAATTCCAGATCTGTGATAAATGTGAACTTAATGAATATGGTATGTTTATCCTGAGTCCAATTTGACACAACTTTGATTTAATTTTTTTTTTTTTTGAGCTTGCTTACTGCGCAACTTCCTTTTACTGTTGAGTTTACAGCTGTAAAGAATGAAAACCCATTTCACGGACAGTGTTTTCTGATCCGTGGCCAGGCAGAACATGGTAAGCTGCTGGAGAGGTGCGAGTTGATCCTCAAGCAAAGCATTTCTGATCTTCAGAAACGTTCAACCACGAACCATTTCTTACAACACACGCTCATCTGGAAAAGCCTTAACTGAAGCCCTTGTTCAGGCGCTAATCAAACCTTGCTCTGTACAATACCAGGCTGGCTTCCAGGTGTGAAGAGAACGAGGCCGCGCACAGAAGGGACAGGCGGTGCCTTTTCGGAGCGATTTGTCCCAGGCGTCCCCGTGCCGTGGACGGTCGCAGGGGCCCCACGGCCGCTGGGGCGCTGCCGGTGCTC